TCCTCAAGCTAGTCTTCTATCTACCTGGTCGACATGAAAAGCAGTGTTAGGCTGATGTGAGGAAATATCTGAATCCGATAAGCTGGGGTTTTATGACTTTGACTGAAGTTTTAATAATACAGATACCCTTATTGCATTGCATTGCATTTATCTAACAGTGAAACCCAAGGGTTATGATATACAGTCCTTGATGCCACAGCCTGTTTTCATTCCTCGTCAAGCTTTGACTTTTATATGGCTGGATATCTTCTGCCGTTGGCTCTGTCACTGATCTGATTTCAAAACCAAAGGACTGATAATCGTTGCTGCTTATTATTATTATCTATTTTTCTTTTTTCTTTATTGCTTTAGAGGCAATATTGAGTTTTGGTTTTATGCTTGGCATTTTATGAAACATAAAAGTTTGTAATGTGACCATCTTGGAAATCTCCTTTTACTCTCTTTTAATGCAGCTTTTGGCGATGATCTGGCCTCAATCATGCTGTTAGTCAGCGTTTTGCAGCAGATGCAATCTGGACACATCAATATGTCCTGCAGCAGTACAAGTTTTCTATTTTCCCCCATCAATCAGTCCAAGCAGCCTGGTGTTCTCCAGTTCCTTTGTAGTGCTGTTCAATCATAAGCCCAGTATTCTGGTTGAACACACACAAATACATTGAGCCTTTGTGGACTTAATTACGCATCATTAGGGCCTGATGCACGGCATGGGTCTCTTTAGAGCGAGCCGCAGTTATTGTGTACTGTGATTTGGCCGAAATGTCAAATTAGGTCTTGTGTGGCCACAAAAAAAGCAACAAAGAAAAGCAAAACAGTAAGCCAGAAGAAATGAGTTTTTTGTGTAAATTGCTACATGCACCTTTCTAAATCTGGGGATCATCAGTTTGGCTTCATTTGCTGTTCATGTGTATTCAGAGTCAGTTGTCACGCACGTGTATGTCAATCTGGACTGATACTGGGGCTGTCGATGCTAAATTTAGATGCAGTTTATGGCCTGTGTTACATAAATGCATGTTTTGTGTCTTGATGGACACAACAGGTTTAAAACATTGATTAGTGGCTTGGTGGGTTGTGCATGTTCTCTAAAATGTTGCGTGATGGTGATGCAGCTTGTCATTGCCTAATACCACCTGCGTTTATGAAATAGATTAAAGGTTCAAAAGGTTTCTGCACAGTTGGCGGCAACAAACCAAATTGCAAATTTAATGGTTTTCAGGCAAATTCTTTTATTCCCAACCCTTTTTTACCTGTTTACCCCAAAGCCCCATCATTATAATTGATCATTATGTTAAAGGTACAATATGCAAGATTTCTAACCTCCTACAATAACAAAGGCATAAATTGTATATTTCGCATTAAGCGGAATTATGGATCTTGTCGTCAAGCAGATGGATCTTTAATGGATGGGTGAATACATTGATGTTTTAACATGACAGTGGAGTTAAGCTGGACGTGATTCTTAAACGTATACCAGCGCCACACGCAACGCGAGTCCCGGGGATATGAAGGAATAACGACATTTCGTTACCGAACTACACGCAAGTCCTGAATTGATTCTCACATATGTCAGTTTATTTGAGTATCTTGAGGTAACTCAGCGCTGCTTCACTTGCTCTAACAGTTACATTATCACACTAAATCACACTGGGTTTTGAGTGTATTGAATGTTGTTAGTTAGGTTGTTTGTTGGCTGAATGAGACTAAGATTAACATTAGGAAGTAACATACAGATCATATTCTAACTTTTGTTGAATTTTTCTGTTTCAAAGTACACATTTCGAGCTTTCTATAGATATATTTCTCTGGTGTGTGAGGCAAGTAGGCCTACTGTACCTTATACGCTGTGTTTCGGTTAATTTGTGACTCACGAGACGAGCTCCAGGCGCCGGCGCCGTGTCCTGATTATCTATTTTCTGTTATATATTTACTTCTTATTTATTAAATCCAGGCAATTGGTCACTGAAACATTTATTAAAATTAAGATACAATTAATACAAAAACAAAATTCACCTTAATGAAAGGATATGCATTATGTTTGATGTGAAAGTTTTAAAGCAGTCTTTCAGAGGCGCTTTCAGAGTGGTCAAGTCCGTAACAGGAACTGTCACGAAACATGATTTATCCCTCATAAATATGTACCCGAAAAATAAGACAAAATGAATATTTTATGTTCTGTGGAGATGAGCCAACTCTTCTTTCCAGTGGGTAGAATTACTTTTTGTACTTTTGCCACCTAAGTGAAAGATATGTTTTTTGTGTGTGTCACATTTGTAACGGATGTGTTTTTTTTTTTTTTTTTTAATATATATATAAAACTTTTTTCAAATGTTTAAAGGGGGTATGGTTAAGACGTTTCAATATAGGCTACTGGTATTAAATGCATTTTTGAGAATTAACATTTCAAGTTTGTGTTTTTTTTTTTTTTTTTTTTTTTTACCTCAAATCACGTCCATGCTGCAATATCCCATTTTTAAAGAATTTATGGTGTTTTGTGGTGTAGGTCTACGTATTTTTATAATGTTAACTTAAAATAATACTATAGTAATTTAAAGATGTGGTAGCATTAGATCTGGATGGGAAGTCTGAAGGGGTGTGTCGTGATTTTGCCTTCTCACACACATTTTTGTTTCATATCGCATGTCAGACAGCCATCATTTCTACTAAAGAAAATGACAAAAATAGTAACACACAGTAAATTGGATAAGTAACTTTAATCTGAATTCTGGTTTGGAAATAGTAACGTGTTAGATTACTTGTTACTGAAAAAAGTGTTCAGACTAGAGTAATGCGTTACCGGCATCAATTGTATATGTACATATGTTTTTCTAGTTTAATTGGGTTGGGGTGCCGTGGAAAAAAGAAAACTACAAAGGGGTGCCCTGCTTTCAAAAAGTTTGGGAACCACTGCTATAGAGTGTCATCCACACAAATTGCACACATTTTGGTTCCTTTCATTCAAAATGGAGAAAAAAACAAATCAAAATTGTTCATGAGTCATAACTAGGTTAACAAAAACAAATCCACAATCTGCGTACCACTTGAGGTACACGTATCCTCCTCCAGTTAAGAATCTCAGAAGGTAAAGACAGTATTGAACTCGAGACTAGTGCTGCTGATCCAGCAGAGGAATGTGTGGAATGAAGCCTGTTAAAATTATACAGCATCAGACAGCCTCTTCACCCTGAAGTTTTTACTATATTTTGGGAATTGGAAAAGCGCCCATCCCCCTCTCCCACTCCTTTAACTCACTCTTCTCTCTCTCTTTATCCATATGTTTGCAATCTCCAAGGTCCTTCTCTTTCTCTCTCATACACTTGCTTGTTCCCTCTCTCTCCCACACCTCACTCCATCATTCTGATTACATCCGAAGGGAGAACCAAGTGTTTTGCAATCAACCTCTCCGTTTAAAAAAAAGAAAAAAGAAAGAAACCTGTTGTATTTAGAATAGGAGGGGTGGTGTGGGAATCCATTATTTTGAGTGGAGTGTGACTACTCAGTCACTGAAAGCCCAATAGGAAACGCCAGCAGCCGGAGGAGGAAAATTAGCCCAATCCTTTTGGGCCCTGATATATGGCGCACATCTGGGCTGCCGTCCATTGTTTTCAATTACAACTTTAAGCATGGCCTCCTGCGTGCTGAGCAATGCTCCCCCTCTGTTTTTTGTTTTTTTTCCATAGCCCCCTTTCTCTCCCTCCCCGACCAATTACACAGTGGACAGGTGTCGTGTAGTGCTAACAGATTGGCCCACCCGCCTCTGTCTATTTTTCTCGCCTTGCTTCTGGAGCGCTCAGCATAAGCACTCCAGTGACGGTAACGACAACACTCCCCTCTCTCTCTCTCTCGTTGTCATCTGAGTGAATATGAGACATGAGGGTGAGAAGTTCATCATGCAGTCAGTCATGTCTAATGAACAGTTAGACCTGCTTCCAACACCCGTGATTTTGACAGGGATTTTGCATGTAATTATGTAGCGGGAATAACGGGGTGAATGTAAGTTATTAAAATGCAAGACCCTGCACAGCTCTAAAGATTTCCAAGTGTTTCTGTATATGCTGTACTGTATGTTGAATTTGCTATCATCACACATTTTCTGTAATTTTTATAATATTAATGTGGGCCTTGTTCGGAGTAAATTAGATGCCGCGTTTAAATACCCCAAATTTAAAGGTTTGTGGCTTTTAGTTCATGCCTGTTAGCTTTTATTTTATTTTATATTAGGGCTGTCAAACGATTGATCGCCATTAATCGCATCCAAAATAAAAGTTTGTGTTTACATAATATATGTGGATGCACTGTGTATAATTATTTTATATATATAAATACACAGACATGCTTGTATATATTTAAGAAATATTTTCATGCATATACTGTATATAGATTTATATATAATTTAGATTATGTATAAATATTTTATATATATAAATCATATTTTTTTCTTAAATATACATGCATGTGTGTGTATTTATATATACAAAATAATTATACACAGTGCACCCACATATATTATGTAAACACAAACTTTTATTTTGGATGCACTATTTTATATCTAATAAATATAATTATTTATATATAATAGTTTTGACTCAAATATATTTTTATATTTTTTAAATCTCTGACATTAACCAGAGTAGATGCCTTATTTAAAAGCCTTTGCTTTTTATTTTATTTTATATTGTATTCTATTTTCTTTTGTTTTAAATGTTTATTTTTTTTTTATTTAAATAAATGTATATAATTTTTTTCCCCGTCTTTTATAAATCTAAATGTGCATTACTGTGAACACCAGATGCTTGATGCAGTTTCCAATTATATCAACATCCAGTGATTTTTATTTATTTATTCGGAGCCACAAATGAAATAATTTGAAATGTTTTTTTTTAATAAATGACTTGCAATATAGCCCCAAAATTGGCCTAATATAGTTCCATCTCATTTGTTCATTTATTTGCATGCATTTCTTAGTTGACTTAACACATATCTTTATTTTATTTTATTTTTTTCAGATAACATAAAGCGAAAATTGCGACGGCGGCCGATTTGGGGGCGGGGCATCATCAGGAAGAAAAAGAGCTATAAAAAGGAAGAAGCAGAAGATGATGAAGATCCCGATGATGAACCCGAAGAGGGAGCGGATGACTCGGCTGCAATGGCGCAAGGTGACACCTGTCTCACTCAGGACGAGTCGTCCTGTGACGCAATGGAGCTCCATCCTGAGAAACAACCACTCCAGTCCAATGGACACATCCTCTCCACAGAGGAGGAAAACTCATGTGAGCCGACGGCCAATCAGGACCCTCAGGGCGAGGAGGAGGCCATCGAGACTCCCTCGGAGGAAGCTCCTAGCGTTAAGGAGCCATCAGAGGTCCCGACGGTCCCCGCTCCACAGGAGTGTGTGAATGGAAATGAATCTTTGGACAGTGTGTATAGTGATGCTCTAGATAAAGAAACAGAGGTAGACTCTATTAAAATAGATGCATTTGAAGAGAAACCAGGAGAGCATAAAGAACCTTCTGCCCCAGAATGCAATGCAGAGGAGAATGTGACCGCAGCGGAGGAAACGGCGTCTGATGGCGACCATGAAAAAGAAGGTATGGCGCGTTAGATTTTGCAAATACCAAAGTACTAGTTAAACATATTATTATACATATTTTCATATATTTAAAATGTGTATGCACTCAATTTAGAGATTTTAAAATGCAATAAAAATTGTTATATGTAATTAACCATTTTTAAGTAAATAACTGCCCAAAATAACTTAACAGATGTCCATAAAAGATGAAAAATTACAAGTTTTGATAGTCAGCTGTACGGTTATTCACAGTTTGGAGAAAAATACTCTGTACTTGGACTTCAAAACACCATCTGTTTGTGAGCGTTTTCCTGCCGAGAGTTAAATACACCAACAGAAACACCCTGAGGACTCGCCTCTTCTTAGACGGCTTCAGACATGCTTTTCCTTCACCAGGTGTTGTCCATTTCTCCTGTGCTCAGGTTTTTTCCCATAGTGTGACTTTTGTTTTGTTTTATAGGTTCATCAAAAGGGAAGAAACATGTCAAAGGTTCACCCGAACCCGAGTCAGAGGAGCTGGCCGTGCAACTTCCACCACCTCCTGCTCTCGTGGTTGACCACCAGCGCCTCGAGGTGCGATGGAAATTAATGTTTTATCATAATAGTTTTAAAACTAAATTGTACTGTTTTTTTTCCACCTCTGAAACCAGTATCATAACCCCCACCAAGTTAATGGGTTGGAAATGTGGTTTTCTGGTGTAACATTGTTCCACCAGAGGTAACATTCATAAGCACATCCCATAAGCTCTCTGTGCGCATTAGCATTACTGTAGCTGTGCTGTAATGCACTGATCTCAGAAGGAGGGAAATCACTCCAATCATCGACTCATTTAGGAAAAAAGTCATCACTGTGGAGACTGCTTCATCGTCATCATCATTAGACAATTTTGGAAGTGTTCATTCGCTGAGTCATTCATTTCCACTTAATTATTTGCCATCAAGTTCATCAAATTAGGGCAGCAATCTTCGATTTTGTTTCTCTTCTTAGAAGCACATTGAGCTTTAGTTCCAATCTGGAAAGCAACAACAAGTTCATATTCCTGAATGGGTTGCCGTGTCTTATACATACTTTTTAGAGTTGGCAAGCCTTGGGACATACCAAATCATCATAATTGAGCTTTTGACTGCTCTGTCGCTTAGTTTTGTGCGTCTTGTCACTGTTTAAACTGCTCTGCCAGTCATCTTGTCACTGTTAAAATCCTCCACATTCAATTTAATTTAATTTCCTACTTTATCTGAGAAAAATGTAGAAGCACGTTGAACTGCCAGTCTTGGGTCTTTCATGCGGAGAACTCTCCTCGTGTTTGCATAATGATGCATTTAAAAGTTAATTAGCAAATGTATCTTTATAAACAGTTCACAATGTGGATTTTTTGTGGTGACAAGAATTATTTTGATTTCATAAAACCAAAAATAAATATTTTATTAAAATAAAATTACTCATATCGTGATATTTTGGTCATATGGCCCACCCCTAGGTTAGATAGTGATTATTAATCTCGAGTCAAACCTTTCTACTTAACTGTTGGTCTTGAGCATCCGCCATGTTTGTTTTTTAGGTTTTTTTTAACTATTTTTATTCCCTACCCGTCTCTTCGAGTCTAACTGGAAATAGAAGACTATCCCGGTATCTTTCGAAAGCTCAATTCAGCATACTAAGATTTGGGACACACAATTCTAATTTCGAAAACTATTAAGGACGGATAGTATTGCCATTACTACGTTTGGATTGGAATACTAGCTTGCTTTTTTTATTTTTATTTATTTTAAATTGTATTATTGTTAATAATTATTACTATATTATTATATCATATATTTTTAAAAATGGTCTGTGAAACAGTATATTACTTTTTTTAACATGGTATACACAATGATAAACATTTTTATGTAGTATGCTATTTACTCTATCATTCAGTACACTGTAGAAGAGCCGCGATCGGATTGGGTTAAAGTTACTTAGTCATGGGTAGTAGGACGTCGATTAACAAAATGCTGAAATATATTTTTAAATATGTCAGTGAGCCTACGTCTTGTCTTTAATCGTCTTATTTTACTTATTTTAAAATATATGCATTATGACCAAAGAACCGCCATTATTTCCAAGCAAATGGGTGTTTTTGTTAATCCTGTCGACATTTAGTTGTGAATGGGTCTCTCACACTGCTTGATCACGCCCATCATTTCTCCTCTTGGCTTTTAGATTTTCGGGAAGGAAAACAATTCCACTCCCCTGTCCAAACTTTTAGGATACCGGGTATCAGATTTGCACAATCCATACGCACAATGCTTCAGCATGTTTCCCTCACTCGAAGGCTTGCTAGACCTCCTGCGGCTAGTTACGGTTGCTAAGACACGATTGGCCAGTGGCGCATTTCGGGCGTGGCTTAGCGAAGGGGCAATTGGTCGCATTTAATTACCCCGTTGGAATTAAATCTTGCAAAAATGTAAATTAAAATAAACAGTTCTAAACAACCTTCAATTTTGACAGTTTGCTCAAATAATGAATCAAAGGGCTATTAAAAAAAGTTTTTAAAATGCCATGAATCACGCTTAAAATGGCAGATCAAATAGCTTTGCATTTTGAGGTACAGTATTCCTTGCCGTGTGCAAATATAGCGTGTTGTCCTGCTATTCCATGCAAATAGTGAACAATATACACTACCGGTCAAAAGTTTTAGATCAGTAAGATTTTTTATGTTTTTAAATGAAGTCTCTTCTGCTCATCAAGGCTGCTTCATTTGATGAAAAAAAAAATGACAATAGGTAATATTGTGAAATATTATGACAATTTAAAATGACTGTTTTCTATTTCAATATATTTTAAAATGTAATTTGAAAGCTGAATTTTCAACATCATTACACATCAGTTTTCAGTGTCACATGATCTTTCAGATATCATTCTAATATGCTGAATTTATGCTCAAAAAACATAAATTATTATTTTCAATGTTGAAAACAGTAGTGCACCATTTCCCCCCCCACATTCTATGATGAATAGAATGTTCAAAAGAACAGCATTTATTTAAAATATAATCTTTTCTAACATTAAAAATGTCTTTACTGTAACTTTTGATCAATTTAACTCATCACTGATGAATAAAAGTATTTTCTAATTTCTTTCCCCCAAAAATACAAAATAAATTCTTACTGACCCCAAACTTTTGAATGGTAGTGATTAATCAGATCAATTCTGTTCTTTTGAACTTTCTATTCATCAAAGAATCCTGAAATAAAAATGTAAAAAACTGACATGGATGATAATCATAAATGTTTCTTGGGCATCATATCATAATAATTTCTGTAGGATCATGTGACACTGAAGACTGGAGTAATGATGCTGTAAATTCAGCTTTGATCACAGGAATAAATTACACTTAACTATATATTCACATAGAAAACCGCTGTTTGAAATTGTAATAATATTTCACAATTTTTCCTGTTTTTTTTTTTTTTTTTTTATCAAACAATTGCAGCCTTAGTGAGCAGAAGAAACTTCTTTTAAAAACATTAAAAAAAAATCTTAAACTTTTGACCAGTAGTGTATATACTGCACTTCTAGGAGTGGTATGTGAGGCTGCCATACGGAACACACCCTTTAATGTGACTTAATATTCTGCACATCCTGTTTACTAAATAGTGAGTGAAATATGTGCGAGACTTACACTTTCAAAACAGCAAATGGCAGTCGTGCTGAGTTTTCTTCTCACCAGTTCCAAAGTGCCAACTGTAGTGCTCAGACCGGCGACCGCCGCATCTGAAGAAGAAACAGCGCAGTCGGCTCTATCGCATGACGACACGCGACACACCCCACCGCCACATCATCTATCACACCATCATCATGAAAACCCCCCCCTGAGGACTCCTTACACGGATCGCCGGCCGCTGGGCTGTGCGATGCGATGGGGGGCGAGTGCCCGGAAGCACGCGTGGCACTAATCCTCTGGCTTATTTGTTCATTTACCGAGAAAAGGCTGATATCTTTAAGAAACAGATCGTGAAGTGATGGATGCTGTGAATAATTGCTTTTTCATCCCTGGCTTATGGAACAAATTGAATTGCCGTTGAAGTGGGGTGAGCGTTGCCGTTTAAGCAGGTATCTCCTCTTTGGGGTGGCAAAATGCCTGACACATATTAGGAATGAAAAGTGGGCTGTTTTCTTGTGCTTCATTCATATTCATTGACTGGAGATGCGCTCATTACTATTGACATTTTTGCTGCGCTGCACGGCCCTCATACATTTGAAATTAAAGGGCCGTCACCGCAAACTGTGTGTTTCATCTTGCCTTGGTGTTTTGTGCATCGCAAGAAGCCAGCATCACATCATGTGTCAGTGTTTGGATGCATAATAATGCTGAATTTAAAAAACCACACAAGTTGAGATCCTGGAGATTTGGAAAGGTTATCTTCTCCCTTGATGACATCCCTGGGTCTTTACCCTGATCATGGCCATATGGCACCATCGCTCAACAAGAAGATATGCTTGTCTAAATCCGTCTTTGCCTCGGACACAGTAAAAGGTTTTGTCCTCTTGTTTAATGTTTTCTTAAAAGCATGCTTATTATAGCATGTCAAGCTTCATGTCTGCTGTTCTCATGACCAAAGAAATTGGCCGGTTTTCAGTCGAAGATGTTCCCTGTTTGTTTTTCGAGCTGGGGGATTCTCACAAAACAAGACGGGCTCACATTTCACCACAACATCAAAAGAACAAATTGTATTATGTTTCAATAAAATTAAGCATATTTGTTAAAGGAGTAGTCAACTTTTGCTGATAATTTACTCACCCTCATGTCATCCAAGATGTCCATGTTTTTCTTTCTTCAGTCAAAAAGAAATTAAGGTTTTTGATGAAAACATTCCGGGATTTTTGGATGGACTTCAATGGGAACCAAACGGTTCAAGGTCCAAAAGACAGTTTCAGCGCAAACTGTTCAAAGGGCTTTAAATGATTCTAGATGATGAATAAGGGTCTTATCAAGCGAAACGATTAAGTTTAAGTTTTATAAGCTCAAATGGTCGCCTTGCTCTGTTGTGTAATGAGCTTTCGTGACTATCCTGTTTGAACTCGTTTATTAAAATGAACGAATCTTTTTTCGTGTCATTTGGTTGATTCAACAAACAAAATGAACGAATTGACTCGGAAAAAGATTTGTTCGTTTTGATGAACGAGTTCGAACTGGAGAGTCACGAACGCTCATCACAGAACAGAGCAAGGCGAGCATTTGAGCTTATAAAACTAAAAACTTAATCGTTTCGCTTGATAAGACCCTTATTCATCATCTGGAATCATTTAAAGCCCTGTGAACAGTTTGCAGTTTGCACTGAAACTGTCTTTTGGACCTTGAACCGTTTGGTTCCCATTAAAGTCCATCCAAAAATCCCGAAATGTTTTCATTAAAACCCTTAATTTATTTTCGACTGAAGAAAGAAAGACATGGACATCTTGGATGACATGGGGGTGAGTAAATTATCAGCAAAAGTTTTTTTTTTTGTTTTTTTTTTAAAGTGAACTACTCCTTTAAGGATTATTTAAACTTCGCACTTTCCCCCCTTTCCGATTTATTATATTATGTACT